TATATATATATATATATATATATATATGTACCAGATTCTCCAACTGGTACTACTAGATTATTTGGTGGGAAGTGCTTTCGAAATGAGTTAAAGTGTGGAATCGGGTGAGGTTCGATGATTGATGTAACAGTAGATTACGGTATAATACAACGAATGTTGACGAAAGCCAGAATACATATTTCACAGAAAGCTAAAATCTGTGTTAGAAGCCTTTTTCAATTTCTAAGTCATGAGAAACGTTTTCAAGAAGTCAATTCACCGAAATAACTAACGTCATGTAAAGAAGCTGAAATTTTAACTGCAGGTTCTACTCAGCCTCGTCTTTCCTCTTGCAGATTCCCGGTTGATTTTGAGCACTTTTCTATTTTTCCGGAAAACATCGATTGTCGATTTTCGATAGTTCATCAGAAAATTCGCTGTTTCTTAGAAACCAAGCAAAATTGCCCGACGATACCTGAGCTTTTCAATAACGGAGAGTTTGGCGAGTCTGACGGTGTGGAGAAACGATCGTGTTGGTGGATGAATCTGAAAATAGTGTCACTTTGAATACAATGCTCCTGATATTGCTAATCTTATAATCTAACCTGATCAATCGTCTTGAATTGACAGATGAAACCAAGATGAGATTGCTTATGAAAACTTACCAGAGCAAATGAACTTGACTTATATTGCTCAATTGATATTATTTTGAATACAGAACTGTAAAAAAGGTGATAAAATTTATTCACTGATATTCATTATTTCAGCTGAAAACATATCACAAATATACAATAGTACCTTAAGTATTAAACGCTACTAACTAATGATGACTACAACAGTTACAACAAGAAAGAAAACACCAACAATAAAAATAGCAATGAAAACAGTTGTAGTAATTAAAGATAGGAATAATGATGATGATTAATACTCACAATGATAATCCAAAAAACATTTCGAGGAACGTGAATAACATCAAGATTTGTTACGTTCATTCCACCCGTTCAGCTGTGCTGTTCTATTCTGTCCCCGCACCCCAAAATTCCAACACCCTCCTGTTCCGACTCTCTAACCTTTCGTTCTGTCCCAATTCGTACGTACACTTAACAGCTGCGGAATCAGTTTGTGACTGTCAATCGAATCAGATCGTATTCAATAAAACATTATACGGATACCAATACTATCATTTTCAAGCTCTCTAATTTCTCGAGTTTGCGCGGAAATTCAGGCGCATTTCACATTGTCAGATGCCATGAATTGGGAAGTATCAAAATGGTATACAATTTTTGAATTTTGACGAGCACTTAGCATAATATGGTTGATTTTTTGGAGCTCTCTCATAACGAAACGATATCACTACAGGAATGTTAAAAGTACCACCTTCAAGCTCCCCTTACTTTCAGATTCGCATAGCTCGAGTAATTTTATGAGTAGGTGACTAAAAGTGCAGCAGATTTCTCTTGATGTGTAGTTGCAGGTGGAATATGTTATCATGCTAAGAACTGTAAGACATTTCGGTAACATTGTATTGGCAAATAAAGTGTAATACACTATAGCAGCCAACGCCAACCTCCAGTTCACGAGCCAAAATTGGCCCGTTTTCAGTAATATTTGGCCCACCAGATGAAATTGTGCATTTGATTTTAAAGGGATAAAAAAAGAAGAGAAAAAAGGTTATAATTTATTTAGCTACTATACCGAAAATTTCCGACACAGAATTTCCTAATAGACGACTAACTGTGACGCCGACACATACATTTTATTACTGGTTACGTGTCCACACGTAATCCCTCGACAGTACTGCGTTTGCGATATTTTCACGAGTACTACATATGCCATTTTCAGTTACCGTTTTCATTTCGCACATAAAGTTTGCACTCTGCTCTTTATGATCGTACTAACTTTGAACATGCTCACTACATATGTCATGTCCAGAACACGTGCACTCGCAGGTGTTCTGGACAACTCCTCCGTGCTTATACCCAATTTATGACTTCTCGTTTAAGAAAACTTCTATGTTGCTGAGTAAATATTGCAACTTCTTCACATATAGATTCATATAAAATGCCCATTTCGTTTTGAACAACCGTACGTATTGATTTTAATCAAGAGTACTTGATATGTCATGTTCAGTCCACCTTTACCATATGACAACCACCACCCGAACAGATGCACTCCTGAAACGTTTATGTTGCTCTGAGAACTTTTTTAATGATTTAACATACTGATGATGCTCTTCGAAAGTAGTTTCATTTTTCGTTGTGCACTTCTTATACACCAATAAATTCCTCAAATATGATTTTAAATAGTTTTCTTATTCTCACACTAGGAAATGTCCATAATTCATCCCAGCCAATATTCTTTGTCGTCTCTCATCTGAGAGACGATTCTCTGACATCAGCAAGTGATCAACTTTATTTTTGGAAGTGCTTACTGAACTTTCGTCCGTTCGACATCAATGCCAATGTAGGTGATTACAGTGAATCTAAACTTCAGATGCAGCCATTCATCTGCAAAGAGATGCCAAAGAACTAAATCAATGAAAAAGCATTCAAGAAGTTATTTGCAAACGATATAATTTATTTATTGTTTAATATAAACATATACATTACAAATATTATGCGTACACATATGTAAAACATCTGGTGGGCAAAGTGAAAAGTGCACCAACAGAGATTTGATTTGATAACAATATACACACGAGTTGTTATCGTTGACACAAAGCTGACAGACAACAAACATGGAGATTAGTACTATCCAAGAGGTTCCTGAACTTCATCAACCCGTCCGAGTGCAAGCTCCAACTCAGTGTTCTGTTGCTTTAATTGCTTTCTACGTCGTTCATGTGCGCATCTATCACGGAAATACACTGAACATTGGTAAAGTACTCCCATCAGACATACCTTCAACAAATACAAATCACCTACAACTTCAACAGAACAGAAGATAGTATTTGGTTCTAATCAAGCAACATTTTTCTCGTGAACTACAACTGTTATGGAAGAATGTTGAAGTCATTTATGAACATTCATCTTCGCAATGTACATTCAGTTAACGCCATTCCAAGCAAAACTTAATGATTACAAATGGATTGCTTGGAAATGTGATCGAACAACTAACTTTGTCAGCCTCTAATTCACACGAGAATATAGGGCAATTAACCATTCACTGGATAATTTCTGTACAAATCTACATCATACTATCACATGGAAGGGAAAATACTTCATGATAAATTAATATTACTTGAAATTTTCGAGTAAACAATATTTCTTGTTTTTTTTTTTCAAAACTTAAAAATAAACTAATAATGAAGGCAACCAACCACAAGAACAGTATAAATAAACAATGGCAGAACAAGATTCAACGAGCGCAATGAACCAGTGAATGGCAACGATGAATGCGGTTCTCTAAACTCGTCGTAAATCAACATCACCAACGATGAGATATCTGCGAAACAACCCAACGTGAGCTGCAAAAATCTCTTCAGTGTTTCTCTCATAAATAGCAATTNGGGGGGGGGGGGGGGGGGGGATTTGAGAGTGCTAGCGGGGAATGAACAAGGTGAAGAAATCGTTATTGACTGATTTCTCAGACGATTCTTCCGTAGTTGTCCAATAATGCTTTCAAAATGCTTGCCTAACACAAGGAATTAATTCCTTTCATAGTATCGACGCACTGTTAATGATTTTCACGAAATAATCTTATTGCCTCAGAAAATCAGTTTAAAATTGTATAAGGTCAAAATTTCCAGAACATCATAAAAACAAGTTGTTAATCTGATGATAAGAAGTTGAAATGTTGATTGACGATTGCAGGCAATGATCAGTTAGGAATGATCACTTAGACTGCGATGAAATCAATCAAGATCATGCTTGCTGCATTGCTATGTTTTGAATGATGAACGATTGAAACAGAGATAATAAACCTGCGAAACGGCGAATGGTATAATAAGTGTTCGCTTTTGTTGCCAAAGCGCCAAATACATGATTCCAGCAAAAGGCAATTGCAATATACGACATAAAAAAACGATCGAGAAACCAGCGTTGAAATTGTGATATTTGAACTCATCTCGCGAGAGAAGGTAAAGAATTCCTTGAAAAGAACAACAAAAACTATCATTGAATCAATGAACCATTCTTCATGTTGATCATTATCATTTGATGAATGCTTTATGCTGTGTTCAGGTATAATATACTTTGTAATTACTATAATTATAGATGCATGAAAAATTATCGGATAATAAAGTGTTCACTGATCAAATACTCGTCTGTTTACGTACTGTAAGATGTAAAACGCTTTTCAAATGAAATTACACGTACCGATAACAATTTCATGAAAGACAAGTGTAACAACCACAAATGTGCCAATTTTCGCATGAAAAATCGAAAAACAACACCGATATGCTGTTGAGTCAAAAAATCGTTGCTCAGCATCATCGATATCACGACGGGAAATCGTCTCTTCCTGAAACTGAGAATATACAACTTCGAGAAACTTCAAGATGTTTTAAGAATTCCGCTGCTATTCATTGATAGATAATGAATATTTGCAGAACTGTTGCTAATGACGGGACTCTTAATTTAATTAACGCTTCGATGATCATTTATGAGATTTTATCGAGAATAAATTCTGTTTTCATCACCATCATTCAAAGAAAGGTGTTTGGTACAAAAACTAAGCAACCTGCTCAAAGCCATCAATTGCATTGAATGCTCTTGCGCCATAACGTCGCAATTTATAATTCGCAGCATTCATAATTTTGAACTTGCTTCATTAACTGGCATTTGTTGAGATCAAATGAGCGGCTGCAATGACTTTTTTATATTGTGTCATCGATTAAAACTGTCAAAGAAGCAGTTGACGATCAAAAGTACTGTAACTACAGCGTGCATCCAATTTGTTGATCTAATAAGATGATTGAAAAAATGCATCACATACTCTTTACTAAAATAAGTTCCTTATTCGCTTATTCTCTACTATTTTGACTAAGACTAAATAATATCGAGCATGCTGCCTTTCAGTGAATTTCAATCGTCAGCTCAACAAACTCTTTACTTGATTGATGTCGTTACTTTCGTATTGAGTGATTCGTCGAGAATGACCTGAACATTCGACATACTTACTGTTGCACTTTCCCTATATGCATTTTCGAAAAGTAAGCTAACGACAAATTGATCAGTTTCCTAATGAACTATTTGCCACAAATAGCTATCAAAAAATGGGAACGCATGACACAGCAAAAAAAGCTGAGAATTCTACGAAACGCTGAAATAAACTCTATGAAACAGAATGATTTTTACTGTAAATGACGTTAGTTACTTGGAATTCACACAAACATTTACACATCTCGCATTTACCTTTATCCAATTTGTTCACTCCTTGAAGAAAAGCACACTGAGACAAAACAGTGTGTTTAGTGACAAATCAATGAACAAGTTCATAATGAAACAATATTGTTATTATGATGAGTACTGTAATATGTATTTGCATTGTTAGACATAGACATGTGAGGGCGTGTTATATATAAATGATCAAGTGAATAAAAACATGATATGAATTTAAAAAACAAATCGGAACGTTTTAGCAGAACGATTTGAAAAAGTGCACTGCAACTGATTGCAAATGAGACAGGAAATGGACGGATGAATGAACGAGTTTTACCTGCAATCATTCGTCATTATTCACCTCATATTTCACTCACACTAGCAATTCAATTTCGATTACTGTTTGATGTTCAGATCAGTTCTTAACATTTAGGGGGTCAATTACATATTTAGTTGGCAGCAATGAGCACTGTAAAAATTTAAGGGAGTTCATGTGCATTCTGAAGAGGATAATTTCGTCGTGCGCGGCCACAAGTGGTGATTAGAAAAGATTTCAGAAAAATTGAGGGAGAGAGGCGGGATGATTCATAAATTGTAACATGAGTTCAGCGTTTCAAGACTACACGAATAGTGATTTTCGAATGAAGTTGTTTAAATTCTCTCACGGTCAGGTTCATTAGAAACCACATGGAATAATCCATAAGATAAGCTCGCTTGAAGAGAAGTGCGCTTGTACAAGTTTCTGTTTGAAAAAGGAGAAGGAAAACTTATCAATGAAATGAGAGCGCATCGCATGAAAAGTTTAGCAACAATACAAGAAATCTGTAAGTTATCGCAATCTACTGAGGCATTTTGCAGAATGAAGACGATCTATAAAAGATGAAAAAATTTCCACGTTGCAAACTGTCAACAGATTGAAAATAAACGATACTGGGTGTTATAAAGTCAACAATCGAGCTAACTGAGCGACGAAAGGGTATTTTTGGAAAAAAANAAAAAAATTTTTTTCGTTCTTCAAATTCGCTCCGATTCATGGAGGCAATACTCATGCATATTGTCGTTCAACAAATAAATGAATGAATGCCATCAATCGCCATTACTTCACGTACCACTATTATGCCAGTGGGAAAATTTGACTGAAAAACGCAAATGACGATAAACTTTTTGGAGGGTTGACATATGATGAAAGCACTGCGTACTCACATACTTGTTATGTTATATTCTGGCTTCATCTGGCTTTAACTCACACTTTCATTAGGCGCACAATTTTTTGAATCAGTTCGCTCGAGAACTGTTTTTTTTTAGGTTTTTTCCACAAAGTACGAATCCGAAAAAACACCTCACAAACATAAAGAGACGAGCAAATAAATTCGAAGCAGTTTTCTTCTGCTCATATGCGGAAATTCGAGTGTTTTGTCATAGATATTTGATATGATTTATGAGTATATACCTTGCAATTGCAATTGAGTGAGTGTAGATCTCAAATAATTTGTTTCAGTCTTTACATGATAGTAATTTTGAACGAATAGCGTCTTTTCGAGCATATATGCATACACACATATTCATAGAACGTTTGCATCAACTGCAGTGCACAATGATAATTGCTACTGCAAAAGTGAAAGTTCATCAATGAATCGAAATTGCTCATCATGTAATATTCATTGGAATCAAATGAAACAATAACATGATCATATTGACAAGATATTTTCTGATGAAAATCGATACAACAATGAACAATCGATAAATGAAGAAAAATCGTTATTATTTATAATAGAATGCCAGAAATGATTTAAGAAGAAGCGTTTGCTAGTTCGTTATTACAGCAACAGGACGATTGCTCGTGCGCGCAACGAAAGGTCACCATTTCATTTGTCTCATCTTCTTCGTTTCGTGCCATCATCGTTCCTTCTTTGAGCATACTACTCTCACAGCTCACATATGGATGATAGTTTTGTTACTCACATTTGACTAGATTAACTTTTGAGAAACTGAATAACTGTTCGCTGCATGCAAAAATAACAAGCAATGTGCAATATTCGTGCAACAAAACAACAAAACATGAACAATACACAAATGTGCAGCAACAACCATTCAGTAACGCTCACACTCTAAAACTAAAATAGAACCATGTTGCTAATAATAGCATGCTCGATTGGCCGCTCCATCCATCCATGCTTTTCTTAGCTAATCGTCGACCGTGGATCATGACAAAGTGGCGAATAATAGAAAAAAAACGCAGTTTTTCTTTGGCTGATTATCAGAAAAAACGAACAGTTAGGAAGCGCAGAAGGCGAGCAAGTAAGGTGAAGAACGCGAACAGAATAAAAAGGCGAACGATGAGAGAATACGAGGAATAGTTTTTATGCACGACGAAGCAGCACTGGATGTGTGATTGCACTTGGTGAGTTCGCGCTGCTTTCCTAAAAATCAGCATTCAACTGCAGGCAGCGTATCCGACAAACGTCTGACGTTGTTGGTGTGTTACGCTTGTTGGATGTTATCTGCAAACGAACTGCAATGTGCAGCATGAAGTGGAAATGCGATAATGATTAGGTGATATATGTGATAAAATAGCACAAATATGTACACACTAACACACCAAATACAATAAGCAATAATCAGTTGTATGAGAACGTTTTCGTTGAACAATACTACTACGCTTTCAGTTTAAGAACGCTTTCATTCGGACGTCCGTTAAAAGAAAGAAAATACACACTTGTTTATTAGTAAAATTCTTATCAAGAGTGGGTCCTGTTTTAGCTAACAGCTATTTTAGTTATTTATCTTCCCTTTGACTTATTGCTGTTGACGTTCTCAAGTTACTTCCTCATAAAGTTCGAAGCATTTGATAGTAACCTGGTAGGTATATTTTACAGCGCTTTATCATCACACATTAAAATCAATCAATGTATTACATCTAGATAGACAACAACTATGGTATGCATCTTTATAGAACGTGCTAGACACAGTGGATTGATCCGACGGTAAAATAAAATTTTGCAAGATTCACATATAACTCGAAACATTTTGATCATGAACAATGAGCTAACGCAAGCAAAGGAGAGATCTGTTGCTGGCTTGGTACCAGAGCGTTTTTAGTCGCAAACATGCGGCATACATTTTCGTTCCTCAAACTAGCATACAGCATTGTCTCTTCTTGTCTTGCTTGCTATTCAACCGACTTTTGCCATCTGTTCAACCACGGCATGCACTCTTTCAACTATTCGATAGACGCTATTTTTGAAACTTCTTTATTACCAGCAGCTTTCATTCAGCTTCATCTGTCTATCAGAAGTAACGCAAATGCTCGTTTACTTGTGCAATCGAACCACAGCTATACTAGCTATCCAACACTTCATCTCGTCGTCTGTTAGACGATCTTCAAATCGAATGTAAAACCACTCACAGCTTGTCCGTCCAAGTGTTCAGTAAGCACTATATGCTCATCCATCTCCTAGTGATCCCTAAGCGCATTCGCTTATAAGCGTGTGTACAGATGATGGAACATTTAGCTTATATGATGCAAGTGTTGTTCATTTGAAACAAGCTTTTGAGCATCCAAGCGCAGTTTTTATTGTTTGCATCATGAACATTATCAACATGGCATGCGTGGTCATTTCACAAGGATTGCTCAAAACGGAGGCAAACCAGGCTCTGCACACCTGTTGTAGCACTTAAATTGAAATTTGGACACACTCATATGGTCAGTCTTTGCACTCAGCCATTTGTGTGGCAGAGTGATTCGATCAAACAACACAAATAAGAACATTCGACGGCCATTTAACAAACGAACATTTATTTGCAATCGATTACCGTGATAGTTATAATTCTATAAGGCGCCCCTAAAGTCGAGACCAGTGATACTTAATTTGAGAAATTCGACCCAGTTTCGGCTCCGATCATGCTCCGCACTTTTCAAAATTTCGGCTTCGATCATGCTCCGCACTTTTCAAAATTTCGGCTCCGATCATGCTCCGCACTTTTCAAAATTTCGGCTCCGGCTTTGAAATTTTTTCTGCTTCACTTCGGCTTTCGGAGCAATATATCGCAGTTTCTCTCAAAAATATATCACACCGTTCAGTAGCTGCAAACTGAACGTTGCGATATATTTTTGAGGGAAACTGGTCGGGATGCATAGTGGCAAAATGTAAGGGAGCACCTTTTAGGGCCATCAATGAGCTCCTTGACTTCCCCTAGTTTAGACGTGTGGTGTAAACATTGCACTTTTCGAATTCTTTTCGAATTCCCAAAATATGCAATGAAAGGATCAGATCAAAAGATAAATGCATGAGAAAGGCAACATCTTTGTTGCATTCTCTTTGTTGCTTGTTTATGAAAAGATACATACCCAGCAAAAATGCATACCTACAGTCAAAACAAAGGCATTATCTGAAAGCTAAAAGCATCAGCAGATGACCTTATCTACGAATA